GAGAAAGATACAACCAAAAAGGAGAACTACAGACCAATCTCCTTAATGAATATAGATGCAAAAATCCTTAATAAGATACTAGCAAACAGAATACAGAGGATTATTAAGAAGATCATCCATCATGACCAAGTCGGATTTATTCCAGAGATGCAAGGGTGGTTCAACATACGAAAGTCAGTGAATGTAATACATTATATTAACAAAGTCAAGGACAAAAACCATATGATCCTCTCAATAGATGCAGAAAAAGCATTTGATAAAATTCAACACCCATTCATGATAAAAACCCTGCAAAAAATTGGAATAGATGGTCTATACCTCAATTTAATAAAGGCTATTTATGAAAAACCATCAGCCAACATCATATTGAATGGCCAAAAACTGAAAACCTTCATGTTAAAATCAGGAACAAGACAAGGATGCCCACTATCGCCACTTCTCTTCAATATAGTTCTGGAAACATTAGCCACAGCAATTAGACAAGAGAAAGAAATTAAAGCAATAAAGATAGGAAAGGAAGAAGTTAAACTATCATTATTTGCTGATGATATGATACTCTACATTGAAGATCCAAAAAACTCCACCAAAAAACTTCTAGACTTAATTGACAGATTCAGTAAAGTATCTGGATACAAGGTGAATACCCAAAAATCAATAGCCTTTCTATACACAAATAACAGACAGACAGAAAGAGAAATAAGGGAAAAAATTCCTTTTACAATAGCATCCAAAAAAATGAAGTATCTAGGAATCAATCTAACAAAAGAAACAAAAGATCTCTACACTGAAAACTACAGCACTCTGAAAAAAGAAATCGAAGAGGATATAAAAAAATGGAAAGATATCCCCTGCTCCTGGGTAGGAAGAATCAACATAGTGAAAATGGCCATACTACCGAAACTGCTATATACATTCAATGCAATGCCAATTGAAATTCCAACACTATATTTCACAGAACTAGAAAAAAGAATCCAAAAATTCATTTGGAACCACAAGAGACCTAGAATAGCAAAAGCCATTATAGGCAACAGTCACATGGCACCAGGTGTAACAATTCCCAATTTGAAACTATACTACAAAGCCACTGTGATAAAATCAGCATGGTACTGGCAAAGAAATAGGCCTGAGGATCAATGGAACAGACTGGAAGACACAAAAACAAATGCAGATGTACTCAGCTACCTCATCTTCGACAAAGGAGCTCACCATCCTCAGTGGAGGAAAGATAGCCTCTTTAATAAATGGTGTTGGAAAAACTGGATATCAACCTGTCACAGATTAAAATTAGACCCTTATCTTTCGCCATGCACTAAATTAAAATCCAAATGGATTAAAGATCTAAATATTAAAACAGAAACATTAAACTTGCTGGAAAGTAAGTTAGGCAGAACTCTGGAAGACATTGGTATAGGAAAAGACTTTATGAACAAATCCTCAGTAGCACGGGAACTAGCAGAAAGAATCAACAACTGGGATCTCATCTTACTAAAAAGCTTCTGTACTTCAAAAGAAACCATTAGCAGAACTAAGAGACAATCTACAATGTGGGAAAAAATTTTTACCAGCTGTACCTCAGACAAAGGACTATTATCAAGGATATATAAAGAACTCAAAACAATCAGTCCCCCCAAATATAAAGACCCGATCCAAAAATGGGCATCCGAAATGAACAGACATTTCTCATACAAAGAAGTGAAAGCAGCAAGAAAATATATGAAAAAATGTTCCACATCACTGGTCATTCGAGAGATGCAGATGAAAACAACACTGAGATTCCACCTCACCCCACAAAGAATGGCTGCTATCAAGAAATCACACAATAACAAATGTTGGCGGGGTTGTGGGGAGAAAGGAACCCTCCTCCATTGTTGGTGGGAGTGCAGACTAGTGCAACCACTATGGAAATCAATATGGAGATACCTCAAAGAGCTTGGACTGGAGGTTCCATTTGACCCAGCCATCCCTCTGTTGGGTATCTTTCCAAGAGAACTAAAAGAATCATATCACAGAGAAGTATGTGCACCCATGTTTATAGCGGCACAGTTTGTAATAGCTAAATCTTGGAAACAACCTATTTGCCCATCCGTTGGAAACTGGATAAAGAAGTTGTGGTTTTTCTATAAAATGGAATATTACTCAGCCATAAAGAGCGAGAGAATAGATTCATTCATAGGAAAATGGATACATATTGAAGATATACTCCTAAGTGAAATAAATAAGTCACACATGTGTAAATACCAAATAGTTTCCCTGGTGTGAATATTCTGCAACAATGCATAAGATTCTAATAAGATTACTGACATTTAGAAATGGGAGGAAAGGAGCTAAAGGTGTAGGGAAGGTGTGATACGTAGGGGAAGAACAAAAAGGGAAAAGAAAAAAATGTGAGAGAATGAAAAGATGAAAATAAAGTGTTTGTAGATGGGGAGGGGAGGAGGGAGTGAAGGGAGGGCAGAGGTAAGGGGAAAAAAATGAGAATCAAGACTTGCCATGTAAAGGTACATGATCCCAACAATGAATGTAACTGTACTGTATCCCTAAATGTACCAATAAACTCAATTAAAAAAAAATGTCTTACTGCTGCCCAACTAATTTAGTAGCCATTCATCTCCCCACCCCTCTTTGCCCACTCTCACTTGGCTCTGGTAACCTCCATTCTACTTCCAACTTCTGTCAGATAAAATTTTTAGATTCCATGTGTAAGACTATTTAATGTGGGCCTTTATGTGAATTATTTTACTTAACATAGTGTCTTTCAGGTTCATTAATATTGTCACAGATGCCAGAGTTTCTTGTTGTGTAGAAGCCATGATTCTTTACTGGTTCCTGTGGTATACAGCCACAGATTCAGAAAACCTCAGACTTCATCCAGCATATACACAGCCTGGGGTGCCAAGTATCGCAGCCAGGTAGATATACTGAAAGCAGTCTTTTAGTTGCGCAAAGTGAACATTTAGGAGCTATGCCATGTCAGGGACTGTCTGCCATCTTTCATCATGTGGCCAAAGGAAATACTGACAATAACAAGCAGTGGTCCTACATATTTAATCTCACTCTTGGGTGTTGTGGGAGGTGCAAAATTTCTTATCTCAGTGGCTGGTCTAAGAATACTTTAGAGAAGGGACCTACCTTGTGAGGAAAAACTGTTTGAGAGAAGTCACTTATTATAGAGGTTGAGACTCTATAGAGTTCAACCGTATCTGAGCAAATAAGAACATATGCTTCTCTGGAAAGGGAGAGAAAAGTATGAGAGAGGGAGAGGAAAGTATGGTAGACCACAAGAGGGGGAATCAGCTGTGATGTTTATGGTAGAATCTCCCCAGAACTCACTGATCTTCAGTGAATTCTTGAAACCTAGCAGATGGACAGCACAGATAGGTGTCTTGTGGAAGTGGAGATCAGGCTGTGCTCTTTGAACACGATAGTAGAATGAAATTAGTGAGCTAAACAAGATTCTCAGTACCAGGAAAAAGCAAATACCTGGGGGACAGATTAAAACTTTCTTCCCACATTGTACAAATAGGAGTTTGAGGGTACATCACTGATGTGTCAGAGATTTTGGGAGGAGCAACTGTCTTGTTAACATGCCCACAGGAGATGGTATGACTAAGCTGAGGACAGTTGAACAAAAAGTAAATAGACATTTGTTGAGCACCAACCCAAACGCAAACACTAGGCTGGGCTGCACATCATCTCAGAGGTGACAGGGAGAAAAATACGAAGTGGAGCTCAGGGATTGTTTCCTCATTTATTCTGCTGAAAAATCTCTCTTCAGTTCTGCTGGCTGCTCACAGATTTCTGTAGTAATTAACGTAGGTTATTCTTCCAACAATAGAAGTGAGGTGTGGGAGTTTTCTTTCCCCCACTTTCTCCTATCAAAATTTGTCCAGTTATGAAAATCTAAAAGATGTCTTTAAGGATATTCTGAACTTTGACTTGGGTGACATGGGAGGAAATCCTGTTCCAGAACATTCCATCCATTTAACTTAGGACAAAGCACTTAATTTTTAAGAAACACTCTCATTTCGGTTTGTGTTTCTGTGTGTGTGTGTGTGTGTGTGTGTGTGTGTGTGTGTGTGTGTGTCTGTCACCCATTTCACTTCAAGTGGCAGACTGGTAAGGAGCCTTATTACTTTGTATCTTTAGCACAGTGGTTGGCAGTTCATAAATTGTGGTAAGAATGAATGATTGAGTGAATACAAACCCCTGTTCTTGCTACTTCTGTGAAGCTCAGATGAGTCAGTGAATATGAGCGAGGTTTAAAAAAACATAATTTGCCTGTTTGTTAGAACATAGTTTGTCTCATCAGAGCTAGCTGCTGCCCCATTAGAAACAATTTAGCTAAACCAATTTTATTAGCTAAACCCATTAATGTTTGAGGGTTCGCTTTGTGGGTTAACTCTGCCAGGGGCTACTTGTATTTTTGTGTGTCAGTTTTGGGGAGACATATTTACATTTTACAGTGGGAGTTTAACCTATAGAAATCATAGATAGCAGTGATAAACATATTGAAAAAGGGATATTTTGCCACAGAGGAGGCTTTCTGGGTTTCTTCAAATAGGAAATAAAAATCTGCCAGGACTACAGTATCTTTTTTAAGACTTCTGGAAAAACTCAGTGTAGTGGTGACAGGCTGTATCTTCAACTTAATCTCCAGTTAAAACCTACTACAAGAAGCCAGAAACAGATGACTGAGCCACATAGTAATTGTGGGAATTAGTAATCAACGTGGGCTATAAAGCATGTGAATTACATTTTTCTTGTAGGTTTCATGCAAAGTGTCTCCCATTTCATATTAAATTGCATCTGCTTTGCACAGTGATGTTTTTTTCAGAGCACCATGAATGATTTATGACTTTCTGATTCTGTATCCCACAAGATTACATAAGGTACAGAGAAAAACAAGTGATTGAGCCAAATTAAAACAAACAAACAATAAAAAATGTTTTCAAAAAGCTGATTTCATCTTAATTCCTGTCAGCTAATGATTTTCTACTCACCGAAAATACTTCTTCATTCCAAAATGTACCCCATTTCTGTGATGATCCCTCAGATCTTCTTTCAGTGTTGGCAGAAAACTAAGACCAAGACAGGATTAGGTCCCCGGTGATGTCCAGGAATGTTCAACTGTCCTGAATCCTCCCCTTCTTCCTGAAAGTGAACTTTGCTGTTAAATTGCAGAAACAGCCTCCTTAGTTTGGTTAATGATTGCACAAAAGCTTTGATGGGAGGAATACCTGCCAGGCTTGTCATATCTTGCATCACAGATTCAGAATTTCAGAGTTTGTGGGGGCCTGGGAACACCTAGCTGTATGCATTATTTGACAGATAAGAAAGCTGATGACCAAGATGAAATGACTTGCCCAAAACCACACAGCCAGATTCTCTCTAGCAGACTGGTGGATGTAATTCAACTTCAGATTAGTGTAGCCGTGCATATTTATCGGTGAGCTCGCCTCTCATCTCCTCATTTAAGTAGAAGTGATAACATTAAGACACTATTTTCCAACTACAGGGATTTTGAAGTTATCAGATAGAATTTCTACTGCTGTCTTGTTTAGGAAGTTTGAGCCAATCCGGGGGCAGGGGAAGGCAGCAGCTGTTACAAGGCCTGGGCTCCAGAGGAAGGTTGCAGTCCTGGGTGGCAGGCAGGGTGGGGCGAGGAGTCTTTCCAAGGTTTTGGTTAGACATGGCCAGATCACAGAAATGAGAGTATGTCTGATTTCTGAGGTGTGGCCCAGTTGCCGGAGTACGTTCCAGGTTTGAGGGGGTGGGGGTGAGATGACAAACTGGAGGTGTATCTAAAGTGAGGACAAGGCGTCACAGAGAGCAAGGTGGCTTCAGTCCATGGTCAGGGTGTGTGGGCTGTGATCAAGGAGAGAGATGCCAGATGGAGGAGTTGGCCTCAGGCACCAGGACTAGGGCATATTGTTTCAAATTTAAATGTGAGGATGGAAATCCCACCATGCTTACCTAGATTATAAAAAAAAAAAAAAAAGCAAATAATAGGACAGTGTAGAGTATGAGCCTCACTCAGCCTGTGAAGTACAGGGCATTATGCAGTTCTGCAATGAACAGCGTGGTTCTAGGAGTCAAACTCGAGTTTGTTTCTTGGCTCTGTCTTTTAACAGCTATATAATTCTGGACAAGTCACTTAACCTTCTATGACTTGGGTTTCTCAACCATTGGATACAACCTACTGTGTTTATTTGCCATAAAGGTCTGAGGCAAACTGCGCAAAGCACTGACCACAGCACCTAGCATAGAAAAGAGATGTATGAAAGGTAGCTGTATTTCTATCTAAATCACATCTTTGGAAATAAAGTAAATCTGGATTTGAAAGAGTTTTGTCATGTATTAGCTATGTGTTCTTGAGCAGGTCTCAATTTCTCTTGAGTCTGAGTTTTCAATTTCTAAAATAGGGAAAATAACCACCACATTTTAGAATTCTGTGAGAATTAGATGAAGTAACATAAAAGGCTCAGTCTAATGTACCCAAGGAAAGGTAGGTGCAGGGTGTTGAAAGCACTAGGATGAGGTTAAAATCTTGGATAATGAAGTCAGAAGTTAAGGAAAGAATGGTCCTAAAAATATTGACGTTGACTATTTTCTTCACCGTTAGTTGCCTGTTCTTGGAAAAATTGTGTTTTAAGTGAGACTTCTATTAAACAGGAAAAGAATGGCTAATAAAAAGCAAAACCTCAATAAAAAAAAGATAAATCTTGCTTGCTTCATGTTTGAGTGCTAAGCCTAAGTAGATAAAGCCAAAAGGTGACATCATCTGGCTTCAGTGACATTTGGAAGCTGGAGACTTCTCATAGGTGGAAATCACTGTGACTGTTTTGGACCCAAAGAACCAGTCTTTACAAAACAGTTAACCAGGCTCAGTGTTTTGAGGGTGTAGACACAATCATAGTCAGCAGCCAGGGACCTCAATGAAGTCAGTTGTGCTGAATTACAGACTTAGAACTGGATGTTATAGTAGCTCACCATCAGGCCAACCCTTGACAAACTTGTTTGTGCCTGGGCTGAAGGGAGATATCGGAGGACCTGTGAGAAGATGTTGCTGCTTGGGATTCTCAGTCACTACTCATGCTGCTTGTACTCCACCACCCATTTTTATTAACTCTGAACTGCTTCACTCTCCATGTACCAACTTCAGCTTCCAACAAGAATGTAGCTATGGGCTGGGGATTTAGCTCAGTGGTTCCAGTGCCTGCCTCACAAGTGCAAGGGCCCAAGTTTGATCCCTGGTACCAAAAAAGAAAGAAAGAAAAAAGGAATGAAGCTATGCTGATGTGTGTATAATTTGGAGATTTCTCAAGGATGCAGAATGGGCTTTCTGAAAAAATGTTTCAAGCCAGGAGTGGTGGCACACGCCTGTAATCCCAGCACATGGGAGGTTGAGACAGGAGGATCACAGAGTTTGAAGCCAGCCTGAGCTAGATAGTGAGTTCAAGACCAGGCTGAACTCTACATAGTGAGACTGGTTTTTGTTTTTGTTTTTTTTTAAAGTTCTAAGCTTTTCTTCAGAAGGAGGAGTCTCTTCCTGTATCTTCACATAATTATTCATTTAGTAACTATTTACTGCGAGTCTATGGGTTGTGCACAGAGCTAAAAAAAATGAGAAAGGGAAGAAGGGAGGAAAGGAAAGAAGGAACAAGGAAAGAAGGAAACAAAGCTTTTGTAAACAAGGAAAGAAGGGATGAAAAAGCAACCTATATCATATGTAGGTACACATTTCCTGTGATGAATGTTATCAGTATGTATATCTAAAGTGTACCAATAACAAAAGAAAAATATTTAAAAAAGGAAAAGAAACAAAGAATGAGAGAAAAAGTTAAAGTTAAGAAAAGTATAATTCAGGGCTGGGGATTTAGCTCAGTGTTTCCGCCACCTGCCTTGCAAGTGCAAGGACCGCAGTTCGATCCCCAGTACCAGAAAAAAAAAAAAAGTATAATTTTATTTAAACAGTGTAGACAGTGCATTTAAATAGGAAATGCGTTAAATAGGAAAAATTGACATTTAGTCTCAGGTCTCCCATTCAGAACCTGTGTGATAGGAGGCAAGTCACTTCCCCTTCTTTGAGTCTCAGATTTTCATCTGTAAAGATGAAGAATGTTCCAGCAGTTTTCTGTTTGGAGAATGGACAGAGACAGTGCTAATTTCCAGTGATATTCATATGAAGCACTATTTGTTATTTTTTCTGTAATTTTTTTTTACCAAGGCATAATATTTGTACATTTTATGGGATACATTATGGTAATTCAATACTTTTTTTTTTTTTTCTGGTAACTGAAATTGAACTTGGGACCTTGTGCTTGTGAGGCAGATGGTGGAACCACTGAGCTAAATCCCAGCTCTCAATATATCCTTTTTGTCAGCACCAGCATTACCTGGGTGTTCCAGAGAGACAAGGAAGAGAGCTTTCCTTCTTGTGGCCATAAAACCAGTAGGTGAATTTGGCTGCCTCATCTGATTTTAGACTGAGGTCAAGCCTGGAATGAAGGCAGCTGGCTTGGGGAGTTTTTGGTGTTGCCAGTAAGAGGTCAGGATGCAGAGGGGCGGGTGCCATGCATGAGATCCAGACACTGCCACAGGAAATCCAGAACCTCCTGGAAATAGAGAATGAAATATTTCCTTCCATTTCTGTCTTTCTCTCTGTCCAGAGAAACTGAGAACTCATTCCACCTCAGTGACCTCAGATTTGGCTTTCCAGCACAACGTTGTGTTTTTAACATCAAGTTCCTTATGATGTTTGCTTCCAGTTATCCCCTAAAGATGTATTCCTTAGCACGCCTTCTGACGGACAAGAGTCCCAATTTCATGTGGGTGGATTGAGTCTTCCTGTCCAAGGTGATGTCCCTTCTGGCAGCTGTGGGATGGATCGATGGAGATATATATAACCCTTGCACTTGCAAAGCAGGTGGAACCACTGCGCTAAATCCCCCGGCTCTGTGGGATGGACATTTTGCCCTGTGACGGTGTACGGCGCTGACATCTCCCTTAGCTGCTAATGTTTGGTTCTGGAACGGTGGGACATGAATGACAACTTAATCACTGGAGTTCTTAGAGAGGGTGGAGGTGTTTGGCTTTGCAGCAGTGCTTCCCATTTCCCCGAAGTCTTGGTGGAGAACATCCCAGTTCTCAGTCAGGGCACTGGGAAACTTCCAGTGGAGACTCCTGCTGGTCTGAGCCACTGACCAGAGGTTGGGTCCGTTCTTGCTAACTGACTGTTCTGGGCTGCCCTTGGCTTTCAGCACTTACTCATGGTATCACCAGAGACGTGGCACTCTGTCCCTCTGTTACTCGTGACATGAGGAGAATGAGTCTCCTGCACTCTGAGATACCCTGTGTGTTTCTCATGAATTTTTGTCTGTAGTGAAAGAAGGTGGTGGAGCTTTGGTTTTAAAATCAGGAAACTCCTCTTTAATGTGTTAAATTTCAACTTTTGTTTGTAAGATTTCCTTGGAAGAAAATGACTTTGTAAAGTAAAATTTTGTAAAACCAATGGCATAAATGCATTTATTTGTACCCCTTTGTTTTTGATACTAGCTAGGCACTGGGCCGTGGTATAGGCCTGGAGAGTCCCAGTGTATCGGCTATTACTGCCCTGCTTCTACCTCTTGGACCCATCATTCTTTTACTAATCAGCTGCTTAGTGCATGCACAGGGCTCTGCCTCAGGGATTCCTTGGTGTGCAGGAGCATGCTTGGGCAATGAGCAGAGCTGTCCAGAAGTGCTGGGGACAGGTATCTACGTGAGTAGCCTTCAAGGAACAGATGGGAGTTAGGGGAAAACACCCCTTGGTGGGGGCAACTCTGAGGCTTGTGCTATATGGTCTCCTGGAAGTCCCGCTGGGAACATCACTCAACTGCACATCAACACATCATTACTTTGGCTGCCTTCTTTTCCATCTTACTTTCCAAGTCCCCTGCTGGTGCTTTCTGGGATCACCTCCCAAATGCACATGTTGCACTTGAATCCTTGGCTCAAGGGCTGCTGTGGGGAGAGACTCGGGTATCCTAGCTTGTCCTGTGGGGCTTACAGTTTCATGCAGGCATGTGTTTATTAGATGACGGCGGAACTTCCCACCCCCAGCCTAACCAAAGGAGCCGAGCCAAGGACCTGAAGCTGCCTTT